CTACACGGGTAACTGTATTCCTTTCGGATATAAATTAATCGGTAAAGAAACATTGCTGGGCACTCAAACCACTTACGATATACTGCGGAAACTGAAAATAAATATGAGTTTTTTAAAATTTTTTACATGCCGTGAATTTGCTGCCTCTGTTAACCGCAGGCACCCCAAGTTGAATAAGACTGAGAGTAGTACAAAATATTTTCGTTTACTGTCAGAATTAAAAAGTAGATTTTATTTAGTTAGACGCGGCGTTCGTAGACAGTTTGAGTAAGTTAGAAAAAAGCAAAGGGTACTATCCAGTTCACACAACTTCAAAGTAATTAGTTCCTGAACTAAATGTAGTGGTCCCTTAAAAAAGGGAATAAATCCAAAGTATGAAACTTTTATTCTACCAAAGATTCAGTTTTGTTTTCAGCTTGACTTAAATATCTAATTACCACACCAGTGAGCAAATATTCTGCATGATTTTTTAAAGTTCTCCTGCTAAGAGTTACAGTGCCAAAAAAAAGGACTTGTGAAGGTTGGCTAAAGCAAGGATTATAAGGCGGATACTGAAATAGTAACTGTACAGCTGTTTTCCTTGCCCGGGGGCATACTTTAATAAATATTCAGTGGGTATAGGTGAGATGATGAGGGTTTGAAACTCTGGCCCTGTTTAGGATAAAATCCGTACCCTGTTTAGAGCAACACCCTCAATTTCGTGACTCGATTTAGGACAGAACCAAATGCACGCAGTGTTGTTATTAAGGCCTGCTTTTCACTAGCGAATAAACATAAGCATAAGGACTCCCCACGCGCAGAATGGCATATTTGACCCAGTTCCCAGTACCAGCTCTCCTCAACCCGACGATAAACAAGACGGCGGACGAAGCGTCCGCCATATTGCTTTTGATATGTTCGGATGAGGTCTGGGTCAAAGTGATCTATGATTGGTCCACGGTCTTGTGGTTATGCTTCTCTTGTGCTTAAGTCATTTATTATCAAAATTGCAATTGAGCAAATTCAGCCAGTGCTTTTGTATACCTGTACATACAAACAATTTTCATTAAGCAAGTCAAATCAATCGTGCATACCATACTTTCACGTATTTCTGGTAATTAGGTCAGACTAGCAAGAAATTAAATACCCTGTTAAGGACAGACTCGTGCAAAATTATATACCCTGTTTAGGACAGAGAGGACAAAAACCGTACCCTATCCAGCGCACATCTCCGTATATACCATATAAAGTAGTACCCCACGGACTTTCCTACGGGCAAAATGACATTTAAAGCGTGGAATCACTCACGGAAACAGCAAAAAAAGCTTGGATGTACAACAATCACATCTGAAAGCAAAGAGATGTATTAAAGTGAGCGCATTAAAATAGGCACGGCGTTTTCATTACGACGTCAGTTAACAACAATTTTAGCACAGATGTAAGGAGGTTCATGCTGGTACTTGAGAAGCCCATCGCGGGCGCACATCCCAGTTTGTACGCTTGCGAGATTGTCAAAACAANACATACAAACAATTTTCATTAAGCAAGTCAAATCAATCGTGCATACCATACTTTCACGTATTTCTGGTAATTAGGTCAGACTAGCAAGAAATTAAATACCCTGTTAAGGACAGACTCGTGCAAAATTATATACCCTGTTTAGGACAGAGAGGACAAAAACCGTACCCTATCCAGCGCACATCTCCGTATATACCATATAAAGTAGTACCCCACGGACTTTCCTACGGGCAAAATGACATTTAAAGCGTGGAATCACTCACGGAAACAGCAAAAAAAGCTTGGATGTACAACAATCACATCTGAAAGCAAAGAGATGTATTAAAGTGAGCGCATTAAAATAGGCACGGCGTTTTCATTACGACGTCAGTTAACAACAATTTTAGCACAGATGTAAGGAGGTTCATGCTGGTACTTGAGAAGCCCATCGCGGGCGCACATCCCAGTTTGTACGCTTGCGAGATTGTCAAAACAAATATGGCTTTTCACGGTTATTTTTGTGCAAGATCACTTTTAGCTTTAAATATTTTATTAGAGTTAAGAGATCTTAAGAGGAAACGTTAGAGAAAAAATATTAAAAAGTCTACGAAACGAAATTTCCACTGCGCAGTGATCTCCTATTTTCCACCTTAACAAAAAAACTGCGCTCCACCGAATTGTTTTTAAATAACTGTACATTTTCCTTTTCTAATAATACCAAAAGCTCTCGTCCGAAAAAAGTGGGGGTCCTCGGCTTATTTTTTTTAGTTACCTTATAATATGAAATTAATGATCCATGAAATTAAGGTATTGGAAATTAACGCGATTTAAATTAACGCGAATTTAGTGGAAAAAGATTGAATTTAGAAAATTAACGCGAAAGAGAGTGAAGCATTTCAAAATGAGCTCAAGGTAATTAACGCGAAGTTAACAAAGAAACAAAACTTGTTGAGACAGCAACGTTGTCGTTGGTCCTGTGCCAATACATTCATTGTTCTCGGGTTTAAAATACCCCTAATTTGGACCATATATAGTCATTTGGCGGTAAATTTGATTTTGTTTAATTAGCTGTAACTTCACGCCATTTTATCCGATTGAGATAGGGTTTTCACTATAGTATTCTTTTTGTGTAGCAAAAATGTCTTTAACGTCTTGAACACAGCTTTTCAAATTTTTAATGTTGTCACTAAAAATAGGTGTCACTTACGACGTCATGCTTTCAAAAAACGTCAAAAATACCTTTACAATGGCGAAAATTTAAAAAAAATTTTTTCTCTAATTAAGATGTTCTAATGTCTTGCCTTGCTTCATTTGAAATATAAACTATTCCTCTGTGAACCAAAAATTGAATTCAGAAGAAGTTTTAAAGGTAATTATAATTTCCATAAACGTGCGAAGGGGTCAAGCGAAGAAATCTGGCCACTTCCAGGGTTATTCACAGGCGCTGATACTAACGAATCCCAACTCCTTTAAAATACTTCTCGTTCTTAGGTGTCAAGAATTTCAAACGTGTATCGAGAACATGGAGGTCGCGGAAATTAACGCTCACCTAATTAACGGCGCGGAAATAAACACGACTTAAATTAAGGTCGGAATTTCTGATTAAATTCATATTATTTTCTAGCCTGAGAAAACAACCGACATTTGGCGACGCTACCACTGGCTGCCCCGCCAAATGATGTCCGAAAATTCTATACTGATGACGCGTCCCAGATCTGGATTTTGCTTCTAATTGGTCGTGCCGCGAGGAAAATTTGATTCAACCGATCAAAAGCACTACCCAGATCTGGGCAGTGACGAGTCGTCAGAATGGAATTTCTGCGCTCGTTTCTCAGACGTCATTTGATGGGGAAACCAGTGGTAGCGTCGCCAAATGTCGGCTGTTTTTTCAGGCTAGTTAATTTTATGAAGCGTTTATTTTGGACGTTAAAATGAAGGTCTGAAAACTTCTTAGGATGCGTAGCCCTGGTACGGCCACGCTTTTTTCGTCACAAAATACGTCATTATGACGTCATAATGAGGTATTTCGTGACAAAAAACGCGTCATAACACCACATACACTAAGTAAAAAAAATACAATTTGATTTTATGCAACGTTGTCATTGGTCCTGTGCCAATATATTCATTGTTTTCGCGTTTAAAATGCCCCTGATTTGGACCATATATGGTCATTTGGCGGTAAATTTGATTTTGTTTAATTAGCTGTAACCTCACGCCATTTTGTCCGATTGAGATGGGGTTTTCACTATAAATATTCTTTTTTGGAAGCAAAAAGGTCTGTACCGTCTTGAACACAGCTTTTCAAATTTTTAATGTTGTTACTTAAAATAGGTGTCACTTTCAAAAGACGTCAAAAATACCTTTACAATGGTGAAGATTTAAAGAAAATTTTTCTCTAATTAAGATGTTCTAATGTCTTGCCTTGCTTCATTTGAAATGTAAACTACTCCTCTGTGATCCAAAAATTGAATTCAGAAGAAGTTGTGGGGGGAAAAGCCCTAGCAACGGACCATCGTGATTGGGTCATTTTATTATTTTGAACATGCTGTATACGAGCACCCCCGAGACCCTGTATACGAGCACCTCCTGATGATGAGCAGCTGGATTTTATGGGGGGTATGAGAGAATGAGTTACCGCTAATGACGACGGTTAAATGCTTACGATGACAATAATAATAGCATTTATAAATAATGAAGTTAAAACAGCTTTATAGAACATTTTGTATTTACAATGAAATGATGCTAATGAATAATACTAACTGATCCTGGCCTATCAAAATGACATCAAGCTAGGGGGCTGAACATCAAAACATAGAATGCCAACAATGCACTAGCTGTTTTGGGGTTGTCATTTAGCTCTCCGGAACAGAAAAATATTATATTGAATTTTTCAGAGAAAGAGAGAGAGAGAATGAGAAAGTACTGGGCCGAGCCTGGCGATGACTCGTTCCCAGACTTTCCGCTTCGCGCTAACTCGATTTTTGTCGCCACCTCAGGTAAGCCAGTCACCTCTCAGCATGCCTCTTTTCAAGTCCTTACGAGTTTAACTTAACCGAACGTAGTAAAACCAGGAAAGAGACTTCGAAGAGACACAATAAATCGTCTCATTCCTATTCGTCTCTCGGGTTTAGTACTGAAACAAGTGACAATTAAAGATCAAATCAAATGTGTAGTTATTTTGTGCATGGGTGTAATCAATGTTTATTATTAAATAGCTATATAACCTTTCTCATAGATTTAAATATTTTTCAAATTAAATAAATCGTTTATCTCCAGATAGAGCGGGTAATTACTCAGAATATGCGTATAAAGAGATGAACGGAGGGTTTTTTTGGGCCAAGACTGTATGATTTACAGCTATATGACTTTTCAGTCTCGTAGATTTGAATGTTTATCAATAAAATCTTGTATCTCCAGATCGAGCGCGTTTACTATATGCGTATAATCAGAAGAACAGAAGTTTCCTTTTTGTGTGTTGGTTACCAAGACGGTTGAGAACAAGTCCAGCAATGCCACGTCAGCTATTAAAATGCTTTTCTTACTGACTGCGAGGACGATTGTATTCTACCATCCAGTCGTCTCCTCAACTTTCTAAATAATGCGTAGGCTATGAGCAACAGCAACTCTAAAACCTCAGCAAATGACAAAACAGACATTCCTATCCAAAGGCCCAGGGAACCGCCAAGATCGGACACGAAGTTAACAAGCTGTGGATGAAAATGAGAGATAATTAAATAAAGGAGACGACGGACAAAGTGCAGCTAAGGAGATAAGTAATGATCGGGGTAAGGTGGATAGCAATTTCTTTTGTTATGCGGCAACGGTGCTTTCCCCACATAGGAATGTTCTCATTTTTACATAGAGAATGCATAAACCTACATGAAGGCCGTTTACGCAATAAAATGCATTTACACTCCACTTTGAAAGGGTGTTTTTTGTGTTAAGAGATTTTTACCAATCACAAGAGTTGAAAACAATAGCTAAGAAAAGTTTACAATTTTACATGTTCCCCACATAGGAATTCTTTGTTATTCAAACTGAGACCCGGTTTTGTTATATGGAAGATGGTTGGAAAGTAAGGATGAATATACGTACCGCTTTATGAAGTTTTGTTAACTTTTGCTGTTTAAGCCAATCAGAAGTAAGTACAGACAATAGAAAAGTTAGCACCTTTTTTGCATTCCAACATGTTCGTTGCCGTTGTTGCTATCGTTCTTATCTGGACCGTTTCTTAAGCTCGTAAGGGTTAGCGCGGCACGATTTGGCTCTAAATGTTGCTACATTTTGGCCGCCGCTTTTTTTCCTTTAGTGAAATACTTTGGCCATGGAAGTGAAAATATTGCTACTAAAATGAATTTGCGTTTTTCGAACTTTATCAGGTTTATTCTTACTGCTTAGAATGTCAAATCTAGGCCTCACCCAAGTAAAAAAAGAAAAAAAAAATAGGTCGTCGTGTATTTGCTTCCCCATAGGACATCTCATTAGGAAATTTCACGTGGTAGCTATGAAACTATAAGGATCCATTATGGCTCTTGAAATATCTTATTGCCGTCGCCGTCGTTGTTACTTAGAACTCCCTACAGTACATTAAGATGTTTGAACCTCAGACTAGTATAGTGGACATCAGTTAGGGTCGAAACTTTTCCCAGGCACGGAAACTTCATGAGGGACGTGACCCTGAAGCAGACGAGTGGGTGGGTGGGTGGGTGTGGGTGGGGTGGTGGTGGGGGGGGGGAAGAGTTCAGATTTACGTGATGGGGATAATCAAAGGATTTTTATGGGTACAAAGTAACGATTTTGCGATGAGATGACTGAGGAAATTTTATAGCTTGTTTTAGACTCTTTTGTTGGATTTGAGTTGGGTTTTTTTGGTGTGGGGAGAGTTTCACCGTAAATTGATTCTGCTCTACTTGAAGCTTTCTTTTTTCACGGCTTTCTTTATTTGGGCTCGCTCCTCGCCCCTGGATCTTGGTTTTTTAATCATTTGCCCCCATTCGGTCATCCATGACACTTTGGAATCGTAGAACGTCCACGGGCCTTACGATAGCAAATCATCGCACTTACTACATAGGATCGCTCCTCTCTGATGAATTCATAGTTGAGTTCCTCGTAAAATATGTTAAGTTTGAGCACGTTAGATCTGTAAAGAAATGAGATAGCCGTTAAGGGTAATTATGCCAGAAAAAGCAAAGTCATTGGATGCCGCATTTTCCTCTTTGATTGTTTTTGAGAACTATTTTTAAGCTGCGATCGTTAGTTCAATTCAAGTTTTTTGCAAACGGACCAATAAAATTCAAGGCTCAACTTTGCGACCGTTGAAAACGTTAAAACCGTTTGAACTTACCTGACCTCTGAGGAAACAGCCCTTAGATTTACAAATGTTATTGGCCATCCAATTCAGCAACACATTTCGGTACATCGACGATTTATTCAGTGCTAACAATGTGGACTTTGGAAATTACATCAGCGCAATTTACGCGTCGGAATTGGAACTTAAGGACACTTCCACATCATCTACTGAAGTGTGTTATCTCGACACTAATATCAAGACTGGCGAAAACACACCTTTCCGTATCAGCATCTACGATAAGAGAGAGGACTTTGCATTTCGGATTGTCAACTTTCCTCATATGGACAGCAACATTCCCGCCAATCCATCTTATGGTGTTTATATATCTCAACTGGTGAGATATGCTAGAATTTGCACGTCCAAAGTTGACTTCATCAATAGACTCTGTGGACTTTCATTACGACTCAGACAGCAAGGCTTTGAAACCAATCTACTTCAGAAATCATTTAATAAATTCTTCAGTCGCCATGGTCTTATCGTCGAGAAGTATGGTGCAGCCCTGCGGGAGATGAGATTAGCAATCCAGGCTTGAATTGCACCATTGTATCCTTACATTACTTATTTATTGCATAGTGTTGTATTTCAGTTGTATCTCGGTACGTGTGCGCGTACAATTTTACTTTGAGCGCGCGCATTATTTGTTTATTTATTTAGTTGACGGGTGCATTTAGTTCGTTTATTAACGTCTTAATTTTACTTTGCGTTATTTTCCTCACTTATACATTGTCCGTGACTGTGCTCACATGGTGGGTGGCTCCTCCTAAAATGTTCTGCAATCGGTATAGGATTTAATGGAGCCGAAACCAATTGTGGAATTGCACGCATTTTAGGCATCCTACTGATGAACAGTTGCGACACGTAGATATATTTTTTAGCAACTAAGATAATTTGCAGTCTGTCTACTTTGAATTGGTCCGTTTAAAAAAAAAATTGAGAATCTTTTGTTTTCAGATAACGTTGTGATTTGGACAAACTTCTTCCAAGTGTACCGGTTTGAGTGTCCGCACTGAAAGGCCTGTTTCAACTGTCGTGCTACTGCCCTGCTAAATAAGCTGGCTCAACTGTAGCTTGACTGCAGCACGACACTAGCACGACTTGGTTTCGGACGTCGAATTTAAATCAGTCCAATAGAACGGCTGTTCATGTTGCCAAAAACAAAGCCAGAATTAAAGAAACTGTGAAGCAATCTTTTAAATGTATTCTGATGTATTTATAATTTATGAACTGAGCTCTGCACGGCGGTAGCGCGACGTTTGAAACCAATGCAGGTCGAGGTACTGCCGTGTAGCACGACAGTAGCACAACTTGGTTTCAAACGTAAAACTACTGCCGTGCTAAAGTCGAATTTAGTTCGATCAATGGCCATTTTTATAGTAAAAACGCATTATCCGTCTGGACAAACTTGGGAAAATATTTTGTTGTTCGTCTGGGTTATGCGTCTCTAGTATAAAGACGGGCACAAGACGGATGCATTATGCGTCCAGACGAACCACCTTTCGTAGTGCGTCGTTCAAGACGTATTTCGAAGGAAAGTTCGTCTGGACGCGTAATGCGGCTTGTACCCGTCTTTACACCTGACACGCATGACCAGACGAACTACAAATGTTTGCCCAAGTTCGTCCAGTCGGATAATGCGTCCTTAGTACAAAAACGGCCAATTTAGTTCGGCACGGCAGTAGCACGACGTTTGAAACGGGCCCAAGAATAAATTAGATTTTATCGTGTTATTCTGTTTGTACAGTTACAAATTTTTACATCAATAAATGGAAATACATTATGCAGTTTACCTGAAATTGTTTGTTCTATTTTCAATTTCTAGTTCAATTCCTTTCGAGGCCAGCTGTTCAACATAGAAAGCCTGCAACAAAGAAACTTTGTTAACTTTTACTAATAGGGCTGCAATGGAAATAAAGAAAAAAAAGGCTCTACAAAACTAACGAACAATAAGGCAAGTAACTTCATTGAATTAGAGCATATTCAAGGGAAACAAGATAGACAGAAACCGAGATATGATCACGAGGGATTGGGGACCTTGCAAAGGTGATGTTTGACCGTAATGTGTCGAATAAGGTTGTTCAGAACAGTGACATCCCGGCCGAAAAGGCCGTATAATGGTGAAACGGTAAGCGCGCATGGCTTTTGGTTATAAACTTATGAGTTTTCATCCTTCTATTTCAGTGGACAAATTTTGGTTCGAACTCATAAATTTCCTTTTCTTTTTTGATGTCACACGCCAATATTCATTTCATTTTTTTCCCCTTTGAATTGGAGAGTTGGGGTAGTGTAAACGGAGGAAAGCTTGATTTATTTAATCAATTTATTGACTGGCCATACAAACAGATCGATAGAATTTCGGAAACGGATCGATAGAGTTTTGGAAATCAATCTCAAAATTAAGTCTTCATTTTTTTTATAGACTTAACTCATACTTTTGGATTTACTTTGCAGTTCAACAAAAAAATCTCAAGGCGATAAACTTTATCATACAAACCTGGTACGCCTCAGAGGGCCAAGAAGAAAAGGACGACGTTAATTTAAACACATTCTCTCTGCAAAATTTATGAATAAAATCACCATAAGAATTGCTCCTATACGCGGCACCAAAGCTGTAGGGATAGCCTAGAGGCGATCTGTTTTCTGACTGCTGCCTTCCGTTTTGATCAACGGATTGACTAAATGACTCGCCAAATTATCTTTAGCCTTCTGGAGTATTTTTCTTCAGTAAATCCACGGAATTGTGAGCTTAATATATATTAGAAGAGAGGCCTTATTAGCTAGCTAGACTTAAAAAATGTCCATGTCCTTGTTTAATGAATGGTGCAATTATCTACTATATTTTGACTACATTTGGAAGTAAAAGTACGCCCAACATTACGTTTTGAACGTGTACCTGCGCAGTTGATTCTGTCGTCTCTGATTGCATCCGCATATATGTCAAACTTGTCGTGTCAATTTGATTCAGAAATCACAGGGGTGGTTGGGGAAATGGGGGAAATTATTTGCTTACTGATGCCTCAGACTGGAGATTATTGCAAAGGAGGAAATGGATAATGATTGACTGATTGTTGATTGATTGACTGTTATTTGACTGATTGGTCGATTGCTTGCTTAATTCTAATTATATACAGCTATTTCCAAAAAGGTTGTCCGAAAAAGTGCACGCGACAATCCCGAAAGGTATTGGGGGTGGTTTTGAGATCACTGCTCTTCATAGAAATTTTGAAAAAATGGCACGAGAGGCCATGGACTATGTTTCCGAGTGCTAAAGCGAAGCATCAAAAGTTGGTTCGACAGCTACAGTGTCAGAAACAGTGTATTGATCATATCCCATATGACCTTTCGGGATTGTCGCGTGCACTTTTTTCCGACAACCTTTCTCGAAATAGCTGTATAGATTTTTACCTGCATGGTGGTGGGCATGATTTGGTGCAGTTTAACTCATTTCGTTTGAATGCTTTTTGAACTTTGCTCAAACAATTAACTGAGAAGCAAAGAGAGGAAGAAGTATCAGAAACTTGGAATCCTGTTCAAATCGAATGACATCCAAAGGGCAACGAACTCCCTTAGACCCTGGAATAAATCTATTTTGCTGAGTTGAAGGATGAGAGGGCCAGTTCTAGCTAAGAGAATCTGCTGACTGTATTAAAACGAGGGGCACATGGAAAGGGGGCGGGCTACTCGATCGATACTCGACATCTGTCAGCTGTCTCCTTTACTCGTCTGCAGTTAAGTGAGTTTACTCTAAACTGACACCAGTCTCCCCATGGGACCCCTGAAGAGAGAGAGAGACCTAAGGTGGGGAGGGGGGGGGGAGGTTGCCGAAAAGAAGAGAAGGAAAGGCCTTTGGAACATTGTTGAACACTGAACCTTAGTGGAGGTGAGTGGTAGATCAAACATTTTAAGAGCGACAAAACTCTTCGATTCTTACCAACCGTCTTGTTGAGGATATCGCAGACTGGAGTCGCATTAGAGGGAATAGGAAACCTGTACTCCATGCATTTACACTCCTTCCTTTGGTTAAACGCCAGGCAAGACTCTTTACATGCCTGCATAAGTAAAGACAAAAGCAGAGAAAAATAAATTCAAATGAAATTCATATGTTAAGTGAATACCAGAGTGTTTTATTACCAATACCTAATGTCTTAAACCGTGTAATTCTGACTTGGCACTTGAGTGGAATAAGGCGTGCCGTTTACCCTAAACTCCCATGTGGGCCCCGTTCGGTAGACACCCAGAGGAACTTTTGTATTCTACTTAAGAAAATGAAATGCCGGTGGACCCGCACCGGCCAGTTTTCAGGTTCCCTGACCTAAATGAAAAATACTGAAGTACGTTGTTACCGTATCTCAGTCAACTAAACTGCTTAAAAATTCTACACAGCCACAATCAATTCTTTGCTAAAGATTTGCTCTTTTTTTTTCTTTTGGACCCAAATTCCTATTTGAGCTATCGAAATGTCCAGCTATATTTGAATATTCTGTTTAGGCCGAAACACCCCCACTCTGCTGACTCGATTCAACTCCGCAAAATACTTACAGAGCTGGAATACCCGACGTTGAAGGTACGATTGTACAGATTCGCCTCGTCCATCTTCGTCTTATTTTCATTATAGCATCTATTGTTATTAAATGGATCTTCTCTAATTATCTCCACCTGCCAATAAAATGAAATCACGTTCAAGCCAAGTCTAGAAACTGTAGAAAAGCACTCAGTTCCGCTCAAACTCGAATTACATCAGAAGGCCAAGCTCAGAAGACGCCGAACTTAATTCGAATCTTATTTAGATCGGCTGAATTTATTCAGACGCCGATCTTAATTCCAGCCGAAAAAATTCAAAAGCATAAAAATGCTCGTTTCGGTAAAACTGCTTGAAAAATTATAATTTTTGCATTAGCTTCGGGACATGAAAAGTTCGGCGTCTGAATCAAAGCCGCTGTTCCAAAGCCAAAATTCCCGGCCAGGCTAGGTGGGAAGAACGGCTGAGCCGTTCTAAATTGAAATAGGCGTTTCCTAGTTGATTAAGAAGCCGAACGTTTCATGTACTCAATTTAAGGGTGTCAGTAAAACGCGGGGTCGGGGTTAAAAGAATGCTGTTTTAGGGTTAGGGTTAGGATTAGTGTCAACCCTAACCCTAACAGCATTCTTTAAAAAAAAAAAAAGATAGACTCCGACGCCAACCGTGACCCTGCGTTTTACTGACACCCCCAATTCAAAGTATTAGGTTCGGCTCATGAAAAGTTCGGCGTCTGAACCGGTCCTTAAGAGTTCTACAGAAGCTTGAAAATTCACTATAATTAAATGCCACTGAAGTTAATTTAGGAAAACTCCAGTGCACTAGTCTCAAAATACAAAAATTAACGCGAACGAAGATGTGAAACTAATAATAATTAAAAATAATGAACACAGAAGTGAAGCAGTGGTGCCCGTTGTGCGGAGCCCTCGAATAAGGACGTAAACAATAATGTGCAATTAAGACATTTATAACATTAACAGTGCAAAGCCACCGTCTGGCTAATTAGTGGTGGAGCTGCTACTGAGCTGTCAACTTCAGGAATTGTTTTGTTTTTGACCCAAGTTTACGTCGCAGGCAAGCTTACCGACACTCACAGCGTACAAAGAGAAGACTAAAAAAATCGAATTAGAGCATTACCTTTCTCATGCCTATTGACGTGGCAAACCCTGGCGGCGCACTAAGTCCCTTTTCGCGAGGAAACGCCATCTCGCCTTGATTTGAAATGTCTAATCTTACTCCGGCTTCTTCTGCGAAGGCGCCAATATATTCTTGTTGCTGGATATTTAGCTCAAGAACTAACCCTGGAATAAGGAAATACAGAAGTTTTGTATCTTACACAGGTATACGCTCACATACACTACGTGATATGAGTTGACCAAGACAACTAATTTTGAGGAGTTAGAACTCAAAAATCCCTCTTCTCGGACGCAAAATTTACTTTCCTGCTATGAAATGGATTCATAAACAAAACCGTCTGCATTTCCCTCTTTGTCAGCTATATCGTATAAAGCCGGGCAACTCTTCAAGCGATAAATGGCCTCTGATTACATATCATTCACTAGAGCAGTATAAACTAGAGTGAGCAAGCATCCCTGTTTCAGGTTTTCTCTTGCATGTCTGTTCCTATATTAGACCTCGTTTTTCTGTGTCGGGTCACGTGGTCTTTGTGAGTTTGTGAGATTTCCTCGCCTTCCATCTCGGCTACGTTACAAAAATGCATCGACCGAGAAGGCCTTGGAGAATTTCTTACAGAGACTAGGCAAGATTTAAGGATTTGACTCTTACCAACATAGTAAGCAGGAAACTTTTAATGGGGCGCTAGCCATTCCAATTCAGTCCAACCTCGTTTCAGGGTTCTGTGGAACTTTTCCCTACGCCCTACTCTCTACGTCTCTTTGTAAGTTTTTTGAACTCTACTTAAAACGTAATATCAATAACAGTTTTGTTGTATATCCTAAATTTGCCCAGTCTATACATTCTCCTAATTCCCCATTACATACGGAAATTCTCATGAATTCTTGTGTGTTTGTTATAATTCTACGAAAACGCCTTGGAGAAAAAAGCAAGTGTGTTTTAAAAAATGGTTAGCAAGGGTAGATGAAACGAAAAGAAAAGTCCAATTAGGAAAATTATTAACTTAGCGCCGAGAACTGCGCAGACCGCGTGTATGAATGACAATAAAACACGGCGCATTGCTTAAAAGGGCTCGCCTTTATCAAAATAGACTTTACAGATTTTAGTTGGCAAGAGTTCCTCTAGTATTACTCCTGTATTGTGATCTTACCGTGCGATGGCCCCGGTTTGTTTGACTTCAACACCGAAACTGGTTTTCCTTTTTTGTCTCTTCCAGCATTGAAGATGTAGCAGTTTCCATAAGAATAATGCCAGTAATTAGTCCAATAACTGCTTGTGAAATTTCTGTGATAAAGCAAAATAGGAGTGAACAAGTAAACATAAAAAGTTTTTGTTTGTGCTCTTCGTGTCATGGTACACAAAAGTGCACTCCATGTAGTCTGGATCCCAGATTCCGGATGTCTTGAGCCAGGAGCCTATAAGCCGAAGTGAGCAGCTTCCTAGTGCCCTCGCAATGGCATCCATTTTATTTTAGATGGATTTTCAGTGAATTTGATTCTAAAATAAGCCTTACAAGTCCATCAGTTGAAACCGGAGACAGGAAGATGTTTTCTAACATGATGTTTTTTTCGCAGGAAAAAGTGTTGCAGAATGATAAAAATAAACCGATCTGTGAAAACGCCGTTGCACAAGCCAAGTATAGAAGTTGCACCCTTCAGGTCATGGTCTCCCGCTTGAGCTGAATTCCCAGTTCCAAAGCCCAGGATCCCGGATCCCACAAGAAAAAATTTCTTGGATTCCGGACTCCACTAGCGAAACTTTTCCCGGATTCCAGAATCCAGAGTTATCTTACATGCATGGGGGGACAAAGTAAAAAGAAGCAATTACTACCTACCCACACGGTATTCCACGGTACGTGCAACTCAACACAAAATCCTCAAAAGCATGTCCCAGTGGAATAAGTTCCTCGGCATCAGTTTCTGCCATAACCATAATCAACTCCTCTCGTCGCCGGAAGTCTTCCTCAAGTGAATCGGGATTTTCAAAGCCTTCTTCTTCCTCTTCAGATGGCTCTGCGGGATCCGTCATTAAGCCGGCTGCTCTTTTTCGACGCCGGGCAGGTGCACCTGTCAAATTGAGAAAAATTCCGAATCTACTACCCCAAAATGAGTGCCTCTCCCTCTTTCAGCGATAAAGGCACTCCTTATAATTTTATCATTCTGAACATTGACAATGCTGATAAATGTAAGCGTTGTTAAAGCTACGGTAACACGAGAAACAAAAACGGGCAACTTGTTTTGGAACATTTTACTCGTACAGAGGCCCTGAACGAGATGTTGCGCATTATATCTTACCACCTACTGTCGGCAAACCTGTCTTGCAAAAAATCAGGTTGTCGCAAGTTGCCTGGATACTGACAACTGACTGGACGAAATTACGCAGGAGTCACGCCATACACGGCTGGGACTTGCTGCCAAGCAAGTTTGCCTTGGCCGGTAAAATGCGCAACACGTACACATTTTGAAAAGTGAAGAATGATCATCGCAGTAAATTTTCCAATTTAAGCAATTGGAAAGAAGACGCCTGAAAAAAATCAGGGCTTCAACGGGATAAGAACCCGTGACCCCCGCGTTGCCGGGCCGGTGCGTTGCTCTACCAACTGAGCTATGAAGCCACACATTGGGAGCGAGGTAGAAAACGATGTTTTTTTTGTTTGTTTGTTTTCTTGTTTTTTTTTCAGGCTTCTTCTTTCCAATTGCTTAAATTGGAAAATTTTCTTCACTTTGATCTACAACCACAGTTCAAAAATGAATTATTTCATATACTTCACATCATTTCACTCCTCACGGGAGATATGAACTCAATAAATTGACCTCGCTCCCAATGTGTGGCTTCATAGCTCAGTTGGTAGAGCAACGCACCGGCAACGCGGAGGTCACGGGTTCGAATCCCGTTGAAGCCCTGATTTTTTTCAGGCTTCTTCTTTCCAGTTGCTTAAATTGGAAAATTTACTGCGATGATCATTCTTCACTTTCATCTACAACCGCAGTTCAAAAATGAATTATTTCATATACTTCACATCATGTACACATTTTGCTGCAAAAAGTATAACTACTCTCTACTTTCTGCAACAACTTTTAGTAACCCGTAACAACCTAATTGTTGCAAGACAGCTTTGATTCGTGGGAGGTACAACACGCAACATATTGTTTTTCAACTAATTTCAGTTTGCAGCAATGTTGCAGAACGAGTTGTATGTTTTTATCGCCAGTTTTTCCGTACCTTAACGTTTACTTAATGTTATTGATTTGAGTTTAAAAAGAGGCGTTAATCGTTTAAACTTTTGTTGCGATTTTGTTGATTGTTGCCATCATTTTTTTGTTAAAACGGGTAACGAAAATGATAACTTGTTTTGAGACATGCTGAAAAAACGAGTTGAAATGTTACGTCACGCGTTTATCATACCCATTGATCCAAAAATCAAATTACAGACAAAAAGATTAATGATCATGAATTGAATTTTCTTTTATAGCTTTCATATCTGAATCTAAATTTCACACTTACCCCGCTGGGTTATCTTAACCCAGCTTTGATCACCCCTGTCCAGATTAATTAGATTTCATTGTTTCGCACTATAAACGACGAATTCTACAAAGACTTGCGCCATGCAAAGTTTAGAACATCTACTAGCCTAGAGTCGGTCACGAAAAGGATTGACATCTCCACTTCAGATTGCTGGGTGTGTGGAAGTCCTGGGCCTTTTTGGTAAATTCTTAACGTAGGGCGTTTTATATGGGAAATTGTTACACCGTTTATTATTATTAAAAACCGACCTTTTAAATCTTCGAGGGTTCCCAATATATCATTTCTTAAATCCTCTGGGAGGTATTCTATCGAACTGAGCTTCACTGCGTTGAAGTTGCATATGGTAATGGCAGGAAAGTCAAGACTCTGAAAATACAGAACAACTTTTTAGAAAAGAAGATGAAAATCCTCTTCAGATGGCTCTGCGGGATCCGTCATTAAGCCGGCTGCTCTTTTTCGACGCCGGGCAGGTGCACCTGTCAAATTGAGAAAAATTCCGAATCTACTACCCCAAAATGAGTGCCTCTCCCTCTTTCAACGATAAAGGCACTCCTTATAATTTTATCATTCTGAACATTGACAATGCTGATAAATGTAACCGTTGTTAAAGCTACGGTAACACGAGAAACAAAAACGGGCAACTTGTTTTGGAACATTTTACTCGTACAGAGGCCCTTAACGAGATGTTGCGCATTATATTTTACCACCTGCTGTCGGCAAACCTGTCTAGCAACAAATCAGGTTGTCGCAAGTTGCTTGAATACTGACAACTGACTGGACGAAATTATGCAGGAGTCACGCCATACACGGCTGGGACTTGCGGCCAAGCAAGTTTGCCTTGTCCGGTAAAATGCGCAACATGTACACATTTTGAAAAGTGAAGAATGATCATCGCAGTAAATTTTCCAATTTAAGCAATTGGAAAGAAGAAGCCTGAAAAAAATAAGGGCTTCAACGGGATAAGAACCCGTGACCTCCGCGTTGCCGGGCCGGTGCGTTGCTCTATCAACTGAGCTACGAAGCCACACATTGGGAGCGAGGTCAATTTATTGAGTTCATATCTCCCGTTAGGAGTGAAATGATGTGAGGTATATGAAATAATTCATTTTTGAACTGCGGTTGTAGATGAAAGTGAAGAATGATCATCGCAGTAAATTTTCCAATTTAAGCAATTGGAAACCCGTGACCTCCGCGTTGCCGGTGCGTTGCTCTACCAACTGAGCTATGAAGCCACACATTGGGAGCAAGGTAGAAAACGATGTTTTTTTTTGTTTGTTTTTTTGTTTTTTCAGGCTTCTTCTTTCCAATTGCTTAAATTGGAAAATTTACTTCACGTTCATCTACAACCGCAGTTCAAAAATGAATTATTTCATATACTTCACATCATTTCACTCCTCACGGGAGATATGAACTCAATAAATTGACCTCACTCCCAATGTGTGGCTTCATAGCTCAGTTGGTAGAGCAACGCACCGGCAACGCAGCGGTCACGGATTCGAATCCCGTTGAAGCCCTGATTTTTTTCAGGCTTCTTCATTCCATTTGCTTAAATTGGAAAATTTACTGCGATGATCATTCTTCACTTTCATCTACAACCGCAGTTTAAAAATGAATTATTTCATATACTTCACATCATGTACACATTTTGTTGCAAAAAGTACAACTACTCTCTACTTTCTGCAACAACTTTTAGTAACCCGTAACAACCTAATTGTTGCAAGACAGCTTTGATTCGTGGGAGGTAAAACACGCAACATATTGCTTTCCAACTAATTTCAGTTTGCAGCAATGTTGCAGAACGAGTTGTATGTTTCTATCGCCAGTTTTTCCGTACCTTAACCGTTTACTTAATGTTATTGATTTGAGTTTAAAAAGGGGCGTTAATC